AGCCATGGTGATCCGGGCCCACGTCCTGGGCTACTTGGCGCGGTAAGAAGCCTGCAGAGGGAAGGCGGCTTCCCCAGTGTGTGTCGCCGGGTGAGGTGGCCCCCGGCCATTTGCTTCCCTTTAAAATGGACCTGGATGGGCTAGGGTCAGGAGCCGGCTAAGGAGAGTCCCAGGTCAGTGCTCCTGATTAGCGTTGCCAGTGCCTAGTTAGCTTGACCTGGCCAGAAAGTAGGAAAGGGGGCTCCTTGTGACCCAGTTAGAGCAGCGACATCGGGACTGGACCAGGATACATAAATTGTTGACCTCATTCCCCTTGGTCGTATATTGAAGCCACAGGCAGCTTGCCCGTTGACTTTGGCGTGGTCCCACTGGGTCCACAGCGGTCCCCTGTCCAGCGTTTGCTGAATGAGGCAGCCTCTTTTCTTGTGCGTGTGAGTTCTGTCCACCTCTGCGGACCAGCGGGCCCCCCTCCCCAAACCCCTACATGTTACAGGACGTTACATTTTCTCAAGTACAAAGCCGTTCTGCTGTGGCGAATCCTTTTCTTTTGTCCTCCTCAGAAACAGGAGAAGATATCAAACCTCTTGGTTCTGTTTACAGCCCAACTTCCTGCCAAGACTTTTCAAAGTCAGCGTTAGGGGTGATGTGTTTATTTCGCCAACATGATGATAGGGTCTTGCTTTAGTTTTGTTGTTGTTACCCTTTTGTTTTTCTTCTGTTTTGTTTTGCCCAAGAGGACCTCCTTGTGGGCTCGCTGTAATGAGTCTCTGTAATGAGCGTTTCAGTCCCAAACGAGGTCCTGTTCTCGTCTTGTAGAGTTAACGTAAACTCATTTGGGGAGCTCAAAGGAAGCCTCGTCACCCCCCCAGTTACTCTGTTGCGCTGTTTCTGTTCTCATTCTCAGAAAGCAGTACAGGAAGGTCCTTTACTGTGTGGTGATAATACAGAAGAATTACAGGGCGTTCCTTCTGAGGAGGAGATTCTTGCACCTGAAAAAAGCAGCCGTGGTTTTCCAGAAGCGACTCCGAGGTCAGATCGCCCGGAGAGTTTACAGACAGCTGCTGGCGGAGAAACGTGCGGAGGAGGAAAAGAGGAAACAGGAGGAGGAGGAGCAGAGGAAGCGCGAGGAGGAGGAAAGGTATGGTAGCTTTCTTACTTGGATGAAACAGACAGGAGGACGCCTTTGGAGTTGCATGCTCAGTACCCGACCAGCCGTGCAGCCGAATTCCCAGTGATTGCTGCAGACCCTGCCGTTTGAAACAGTAACTCTTGGGGGCTCAGATAAAATTCCTTGGCAGTGCTGAAAACCCAGTTCTGTGTATATCTTTATGCCCAGAATAAGTATATCGCTGAAGGAAGAGACTCCAGCTGTCCTTCATGCTTTTTAAGTTGTCTCTTGTTTAAAGTTGTATTTTGTTAAAAAGTTAGCTCTCTGAAAAGTGGTTCTAGGATTTTTTTTCATTACTTTCGTTTATTTTCACTGTCTTTTTTCTTGACCATTTTTAGAGAAAGAGAGAGGGCACGAATTGAAGCTGAGCTCCGCGCCCAACAGGTGAGGATTACCATGATCCTGTCTGTCTGTTACCTTCCCACTCCAAACACTCTGACTCAAGTATTCAGAACAAAAAAAAAAGACGTGGGAAGAAGGATTCAAAACTGAAAAAAAGACGTAGGAAGAAGGATTCGAAACTAAAATAAAGATACAGGAAGAAGAATTTTAGAGGAGATGTTTATGCTGCAATTTCTAACCCATTACATTTGGGTAAAAAGGTGTGGATGCCTGAGAGTTCAGTGTGAACCGTGAGGGCGTGATTTCTCTAAGCCAGCATAACCAGTGTGTTGGTTTGCCTGGGCTGCTGTAACGCAGGACCGCAGCCCGGGTGAATTAAGCAATAGAAATTGTCTCACAGCTCTGCAGGCTGGAAGTCTGAGATCAGTGTTGGCAGGGTTGGTGTCTTCTGAGCCTCTCTACTCAGCCTTCAGATCCTTGCTGTGTCCTCATGTGGTCTCGCGTCTGTGTACGTGCTTCCCCGGTGTCCTTGTGTGTGTGTCTCAGGCCCCTCCTTTAACAGGATACCAGTCACACTGGGTGAGAGCCCTGCCTCAGGGCCTGATGGAACTTAACCAACCTCTTTAAAGCCCTGTCTCCAGATCCGGCCATATTCTGGGTCCTGGGGATTGGGGCTCCCACATATCAGTCTAGGGGAGGGAGGAATGCAGTTCGGCCCTGAACGGCCACATCACATCACAAAGGAGGGGTGCTGCCTCTGCTCTCACTCCTGACGCCTCCTGACCTCGCCCTTCCTCTCCATCCAGGAGGAGGCAGCGAGGAGGCGCCAAGAACAGGAGGCCTTGCAGGAGAGTCGGAGGAAGGCCGAGCTGAGCCACGAGCTGGAGAAGCAGAAGGAGAACAAGCAGGTAGAAGAGATCCTGCGCCTGGAGAAGGAGATCGAGGACCTGCAGCGCATGAAGGAGCGGCAGGAGCTGTCCCTGACCGAGGCCTCGCTGCAGAAGCTGCAGCAGCTGCGGGACGAGGAGCTCCGGAGGCTGGAGGACGAGGCCTGCCGCGCGGCCCAGGAGTTCCTGGAGTCGCTCAACTTCGACGAGATCGACGAGTGCGTGCGCGACATCGAGCGCTCGCTGTCGGTGGGCGGCGGGGCGGCAGCCGAGGGCGCGGCCGGGGGGAAGCCCAGCTTCAACTTCAGCCAGCCCTACCCTGAGGAGGAGGTGGACGAGGGCTTCGAGGCTGACGACGACGCCTTCAAGGACTCGCCCAACCCCAGCGAGCACGGCCACTCGGACCAGCGCACGAGTGGCATCCGGACCAGCGACGAGTCCTCGGAGGAGGACCCCTACATGAACGACACCGTGGTGCCCACCAGCCCCAGTGCCGACAGCACCGTGCTGCTGGCCCCCTCGGAGCACGGCTCCTCCGGCGGGGAGCCCACCTACTGCATGCCCCAGAACCCCGGGGGCCTGCCCGCCCCAGACGGCGACTACGACTACGACCAGGACGACTACGAGGACGGGGCCATCACCTCCGGCAGCAGCGTGACCTTCTCCAACTCCTACAGCAGCCAGTGGTCCCCAGACTACCGATGCTCCGTGGGCACCTACAACAGCTCGGGGGCCTACCGGTTCAGCTCCGAGGGGGCCCAGTCCTCGGTGAGTACCCTCCAACCTCCTGGGGCTCGGGCTCCCCCACACTGGGGTGGAAGTCGTCTGTCATCCCTCCCCTGTTGCACCATCCTTTGGATGAAGACAGCCCCGGTAGGCCGGGCCAGGATTCCAAAGTCAGGCTCTTTGAGATGGTCTTAAGCCCCTTTCTCTTGCCAAAAGCATTCACATTAGTAAATGGAACTTGGTGCCTGTTGTAGGCTGAGCTGCATTTTGCCCAAAGCTTAAGAAAACTGGCATTTTCAGTGGAGACTTTGTGTCTGTTCTGGCTTTGCAGCATGTTGAGAAATGAGACCCACCCTAAACTGGAATTAGACTCGCCAGGGGCACTTTGGAGAACTTGCCTGACAGTAGCTTCACTGTCCCACTGCAGGACGCTGCATCTTGTTCTGCTTATAAGGGAGAACCTATAAGGGCTTCCGCTGGCTCTTTTCAGCTTCTGAATTTATTTATAGTTTACTTTTATTTGTTCCCGTTGACCGTGCATTAAATACTCAACTTCCTAAGACTCGAGATATTTCTAGCGTAGTTAACTGAAAGGGAATTAATTAACTCTTGTATGGTTTGATTAAAATTGTACACTTAAACAGCAGTGTTGTTCTTAGAATACAGAGTTTTAGGATTAAAGCGTGTCTCTTATGTATCGAGTCAACTGACCATTCAGCATCGAAAGTCAGTATTTTGTAATTCTGAATTCTTCTGATGATCACACTCCATTGTAATGTTATGAATTGGCCTGTTGCTTGTCTTTTTTTTTTTTTCAATGTTGATCTGTGCTGGGCATTTTCATTGCTTGTTTTCTGTCCTTTTTGCTTACGATTGGCACGCGCTCTCCTTCTGGTCCAGTTTGAAGATAGTGAAGAGGACTTCGACTCTCGGTTTGATACGGACGATGAACTGTCCTACCGGCGGGACTCTGTGTACAGCTGTGTCACGCTGCCTTACTTCCACAGCTTCCTGTACATGAAAGGTATGACCTGCAGCCACCTTGCCCTGGGGGCAGGGGTAGAGGGATGGGAAGCTGAGGCTGACGGAGGGGGACTGGGAAAGTCATGATACGTGCCCCTTCCCTGGTGTGAGGTCACGCTAGGTGGATGGAGGATGCCATGGTGGTGGGACGTGGGCCACCTGACTGGATCATGCAGGGCCTGGCCTTGACTCTCCTCACTTGGTGTGGTGTCAGGACAAAGGGTCTGTACCCACTGTCACCATTTGCAGCCCCCTCTCTCTGTTATCTCTCACGTCTGTGCTCTTTTCCTTCCTTCCTACATCTTTTTCTCTTTCTCTCTCACGCACACGTGCAAACACACACGTGTTGTTGCTGGAGTTGATGCAACCCATTATGATGCTGAAACTGCATTTTCCCCTCCACAGGAGTCCTAGAGAACATAGAGGGATATCTTAGACACAAGGAAAAAGTAAAGATCTGAGAGGCCGCCACACCTAGCTTAAACTACCTACACACCTACTGTCCATCCCACGCTCATGATGAGAATCTTAATTGTATTTTTTCATTGCAGTTCAACTTCGAATATGCTGTATTGAACTTTAATACCTGGGGACACTCCTTCTGGGAAAGTACCTAAGGACTACGTACTTAGCCTTATGCATGTTTTTGACCCTGACTTCCAAGTCAGTGACAGGGTCATGAGAAACCGTACTCATCACCTGTTTTTGGTAGGAGTTTTACGTGGGTCATTGAAAGAGGGGCTCACCTGATTTCTCACCCGGCCCTAGACTGCATGAGGGGAGCGAGTCCAAGTCCTGGGGACGGGGCAGAGGTAACAGGAGCCTTCGTCTCCCAAGGGTTCAAGTCGTTAATGTTTTCTCCAACCCCTTTCTTCACTTTCTTTTCTACTGCCCTCTTTCTTCATTCCCTTTTCTTTTTCTCCTTCTTCCCCCACAAAAACCTTTTTATTCTGTTTCCTTTCCCTCTGCTTCTCTTTTCTGTTGGCATGTTTGTCTTTTTTCATATCTCTTTTGTCCTTAATATTTTTTTCTGTTCTTCATCTTATGTTTTTGTCCTTTCCCTTTTTTGCCTTTATTCAACATCTGTCTAGCTACTAACATCAGTCATTTGCTTTTCAAAGTTCTGCTGTTCTCAGCCTCACATCCCCAAGGTGCTCATGGAAACCTCTCCAGGTTTGTTTTAGGGGAGATCTTCCTACTGGCCAAAGTCACTGGTTGATGGAAATTCTTATAGGAGCATTGAAATGAAAAAGATTGAGAAATTCTAACCAAATAATTGTTCATTGGATGAAGGAAAAAATGTAATCACAAATCAGAACCTAATAATCCAATAAGTATCTAATCATAGCACTTTAAGATTTTCTCATGCATTTCTCAGAATAAATGTAAGCTTTTTATTACTCATGTATTTTCCTCTCCCCCTAATTAATCTAGTTCCCTACGTCAGCTTAAAAATTCCCTGTAAATCACTCTTATTTATAATGTATGGCATTCATTTATTACATAAGTGATTAGAACAAGTAAAATTAGGAAAAGTAAAGGTAGATTCAAAACATTAAAATCTCAAGATTAAAACATTAAAAGCTTAAGAAGGTAAGTAAGTAAATTCTCGGCAAATTCATCTCTTGATTAAACAAGTGATTGTGTAAATGCATCACTGTTTAATCTTTGATACATTATCATTTAATGTTGAATAAAGCCTTAAAGTTGTGACAAAAAGTTTCAGAGAAACCAATGAGGAGGAAAATCTAACCACCAGATTACATTTAATGAGCATGAATGAGTTTGCACCAGCCAGATAGCCTACTAAAGGTGTTTACAAT